TTTGTTACTACAGCTTTTTCCATTGCGTTAGCTTATTTCTTCGCTTATTACATCCACCGAGACTCACACTTGGAGTTCATGTGTTGATGGCTGTTTTCTTCTATAGACTGGAGTGTGAGAAATATTGCACAGAAAAATATGAAGCAAAAAAAGTTGTTTGCGTGAATGCACAAAAATATCTCTTACCCTAAAAAACTCTTTAGTGGAGCCAGAGTCCAGAGTCCCATAAGCGATCTCAGTCTGCTTAGCCAGGTCCTCTGCACTTTCAATGGGGGATACCATTCTCTCGACAGTCAGAAAAGCAGCCAGGTTAGCCGTGTAGGAGGAGATGATGATTAAAGTGAAGAACCACCACACGCCACCGACAATACGCCCGGACAGAGATCTATTATGGAGAGGGCAAAAAAGAAAGAAGCATTCACTTGTGTGTGTGTGTTGTATCTGTCTGTGTTAAAAAATTCATTCGCTATCACTAAAAGATTCTTCAGCTTTAGAGGGAAGACTTTCATGTACTGGACTTGTCAAGACCTATCAAACCACAACACTGAAAACATGCGGCTTCCTTCAGATTTCTTTTACAAACAACAAAAACACTGCTGAAAGTAAAAGTGGGTTTCAGTACAAATAAAGATAACTCTTGATCCATTGTGTGCCATCGTGGTAAAATCTATATCGTATCAATATCACCCGAGTGCGCAGTAATACTCAAAGAGACCGCAACAACGAAACAAGTCCAAAGGCGTCAGAAGGACAACTATATGCACACAGCTGGGGAAACAATATAGTGTTTACTGATTTGCAGCCAAGCTGACATCCCTCACATCATCAGGATGAGATGTTAAGGACAGGCCAGGTCACATGTTGATACGTCTCTGCAGAGTACGTGACTCCAGTCTGACTGCTGAGCACAAGAGTACTCCCACAAATCGTTAAATCTACATATATAAAAGTAACTTTAACACCACATTTAGGTAAATTTAACTCACTAAATTTAGTGCCGACTTACATATAAGCATTGTTATAACAAGATCTTTAAGCTATATGACGAATAAACTCAACTGAAACATGACAAAAGAGCAAATTTAGACAGAATGCAACACTTTTTACCAACTGATGAATGAAACTGCAAGGCACAATGACTCCAAACTAATATTAAGCATGTGATTATGATAACACAAGCTTGTTGGAACTCCTCTGAAAGTGTATGGCAGCTTTGGAGAGATACTGACTTGTTGATATTCAGACCTGTTGGTATTCAGGGAATGACCTAAGGCAGTCATTCTGCTTGTCGGTTCACTAGTGCATGCTGAGTTTGCTCATTCTGGACTAATGTGTTGGACATAAGTTGCAGATCATTAAATACTATAGTCCCGAGAACGACAAATTACATGTGGTTGACTAAAAGGGAAATGTTGCAAAAAAAGAACTTCTTTACTCCTAATTAAGTGGCTAAGGCGGGAAGTAATTAAGTCCAGTTACACCGCCAGTAATAAATTCACAAAGTTGCCAGTTATTCTTGGCTAATTAAACCACAAGCACCATGGCAGTCGTCGATTTTTCTGACCTACCTAGGTGAGATGTCACAGCCTTGTCGCATGAAGGCTCCGAGGGAGAACCACAGGCTGTTGAATATGCCAAACTCGTTAGTCGACTCATTGGTCTGGATCTGGCCGTCCTCGTACTCCTCAGTGTGCCACTCGTAGGGGCTGAAGCGGCTGACGAGGAACAGCACGACGCTGACGCCGATGTAGGCGAAAACAATGCACATCCAGATCTCGTAAGCCAGCGGATCCAGGAAGGAGAAGACTCCGGGCTTGGATTTCTGAGGCTTCTTGATCATGATGGAGATTCCCAGAGACATGAAGGGTTTGGAGAAGTCGATCACCTCTTCTCGTACCAGTGTGATGGTCAACGGAGCCACTGCGATGTCTGCTTTCTGTCGAATGATCAAGGAATTGAAATAGCAATTGAGATTTTATTTTATTTTTATTCATTTTCAAGATGCGTCAAACCCATCATGGAAAATAAACTCAACCACAAAGATTTACTGAAACATCTCTTAACAATGATGGCACAATAATAAGTGACACTGTGTTGTCAATTAGGTTCTAACAAGTCTTAAAGCAGATGCCTTACACTGAGCAGATGAACTTACCCCATACACGAGCTCTCCAACCATCCCGTTCCAGATTTTGGTCTCTGCGTCTCTGGCTCCGTACTTCCCATCCCCCACTATTTTCAGTTGATATTTGAAGCCACAGTGCTTTGCTATCTCTGCAGCCAGATCTACACAGTAACCCTCGTAGCGATCGTTGTCTACAAAAAGGTCGGCGTTCTTTTTCAGCATTACATACGGAGCTTCCTGAAGGACAGAGACAAAAACGGAAAATGCTGCTCAAGCACAAGAGGTTTGGGTTACGACGTTAAAAGCAGCTTCAAAGACAAAGGTCTCACACGGGGCTGACAGTTCATTATGGAAACAAGAAGGAAGCAGGCATAAAAGGGAAAGCACACCCTTGTAGCATCAAATCAGTGGCCTGGTGTCCTTCTAGCTGTGTGCATTAATTAAAAGAAAAAAAAAAAAAAAAACACACATACTACCCCCTCTCCTCAATGGAAAATTGATTGTGACATTAAAAATATCGCAAACCCACAGCAAAAAAGATGCAGTTATAGACCGTCTTTGGTACTGAAATATTGGTGCCTTGTGGTCTTTGTGGTAATTAAAGTCAGAAGAGAGGCGATAAAATAACTTGAAGTCATTCAGGCCAATGCGCTAACTGCTATTCAACCACACGTGATCAAATTTACCAAGATAGTGGTGACGATAACTGTTTTGTTTTCCATTCCTGTCGTGTCATTTGAAAAGACGTCCGATTTTGTCACAGCCATTTTGTCGACTTCATTCCAGTAGCCAATCTGGTGGGAGAAAAAGACAATGACATGAGAACAGCAGACATATTAGTAGCCTTAAATGCTAAAAGTGCTTCACACACAGCCTGAACCTGCTATTAAATGTTTCCACAACATACCTGTGCACAAAACACGTAAATTATATTAAGATTCTGGGATCTTATCTGACTTGTTTTCAACTTTACTTCAAGTGAAAATGACACTCACCTTTACAGGCCCATTACTCTTTAATTCCATTATATTCACTGAGTAATTGACTCGCTTGCCGTGTTGATCAAACTGGATGTTTCCTGTCAGGCCTTCCATTCGCACCTTAGAGACACAAGATGGTACGGTTACAATGTGGCACCATCAAACTGGCATTTAGCCTGCTTACATAACAACAGCTTTCTGATGTGCTAGCAGCTGGATGAAGGTTTATGTGGGACTTTAAGAACTGCAAAAAAAAGTTTTGTAACTGTAAACTGTTGCAAATTTAAGCTCTTTCACTCGTGAATACATTCCAGCTGCAATAACAACCATGCAACCTGCTGGAGTTGTACAATTTTGGATGATAGTTGTATAAATGTTTAATGAATGCCAGCTGTTATGCAGGGTTGTAATCACTTCAAACAGTTTCTCTCATCTTGGATTTTATCAACTTAATCAACTTATTGGGTGCACACAGATTTGCTACCAATTTTTGGTTTTGGCAGCCTGATATTGTAAATAAATGTTTTCAACACAGTCAGCGTTGTAAGTGGAACCCAACTTTTTGCATTTTATATTTCATTTCATGCCACGTAGTTGCACTGAATGACCCCTCCGCAAGCTCCTTAGCCAAACCGTCTTGCATGTTATTTTAATGCCGCATAATGTCACACGAAAAGCTGAAAAAGTGTAGAAATAACATGCAAAATGTGCCAGAAGTCTTTGAACTCTTCCTATTGGCCATGAGACACAACTGGTAACTTTTTACTGTGGTATTTAGAGGAAGCAAAAGCCATCTTTGTCATGATTGAAATTAATATCTCATCTTATCCAGGCTTGAGTCCTCAGTAAGTAGGTAACTGGTGCCCGTGTGGACTGGACATGCTTAACGAACAGATGCCATCAGAAGATCACTGCTAAAGGTTCAGAGGAGGCAAATGTAGGCAAAAAAAAAAGTACTGAAAGCGTTCAGGATGTCTTCTTACTCTCAAGTAACAGTCATCAAAAACCTCTTCTCTGACAGTATTGGTGCTTGTGAGGTCTTAATGGCCTCTCATCTTCTTTTCCCAAGTTCCCCAAAGTGAAGATCATGTGGGAGGGATCGCGAAGAAGTGCACTTTGCTTGCTGTTACTTTCTCCTCTTCTTCAAAGTTAGTGCCATGATCCTAAATGACTTCAAATGGGATTTCTTGCTGAGCTACAAAGCAGCAGAAAGACATAATGAAACTATTGGTGGCCAGATTGAAGAGGAAATTGTGGCATAGTCTCAGCGTGTGTTGAGATACTTGAAAAACATTCTTCATCTCTTTTCTTATTGGCAGCCAACTTAAATAACAAAGGGGCCAAGGGAGGAAGCATTCAGATGGAGGCCCTGGGAGTTTTCATGCAAACACTGTTGTGTTGTGGCAGCATTTCTTATCAGAACACATTGGGTGCATCCTTAAGGCCTAACAAATGTGCTGAATGGATTTTTATATCATATAAAATGTTAAAGCCTGATTTTTTTTTTTTTTTTACATTTTGAAATGTTCATTCTTTACAAACTCAGCCTCCGTTTGATTTGACTGACATTAACAAACACTAAGGTAAATGCCAATTTTATTTGCCATCGTATTGTGCCGTTTGATATGCAGACCTGCCAAGCTACTGATAAAGCAAAGTGTGAGACGGACGTGCAGAGGTCGGCTATTCAGGAACTCACTTGTATATTTTCTGCAGTCTAGATGTTAATGTCAATGTGGTGTAACAGCTTATCTCCCATCGTGAATCTCATAGTTCCCTCTAAACATTCCTCAGGATGGTGTATTTTATCGCTGTTATTCCTAATCAGGAGTTTCGTGATCTTAAAGATATAGTGCTGCAGGATAAATATTGTCATAATCCAGATTCTCACTTTTACAGAGTCTGTCACCTGTTCTGATGGGGCTTGTGATGTGATCATATCTGTGAATATCACAGAATTGTTCAGTCAAGACTGATCAGGTACTAATTTATCTACCTGTAGAAGAACTGCCTTTTTTTTTTGTTTGTTTGTTTACAAGAGAAAAGATAGGAATTACTTTAACCAGACACCGTACCTGTGGTGTTTACCTCTTTCATCTCGGCACCAACAAGTTCAATGTCTCACTGCAGATGTATAGCTCGGCATGTCCTTTTGAGATATTTTGAATCAAACTTTGCAGAGAAATAGCAGAAAGCTTTTGATAAGCCTGACCTGCCCTCCAGGAACGGCCAGCAAAATATGAAGTATGATTCTTTTGAAAGCCCCTCACTTTGTGGGAACCTCAGAGGGTAAGGGCTTATCTCTCCTCCAAACATGTTTGATCCAGTCTCAGTGCTGCATCTCTGAATCGTGTCTTCATGGATTCATTATAGCCTGCGATTCTTCATCTTGTATATGCATGTCCAGAATTCCTGAGTACCAGGTAGTAGCATCAAGTACTGATCAATTGTCCCTTGAGAGATGATCTACTAATACCTTAATGACACCCTGGGTAGACCCTGTGTTGTGGACACGTTTCCTCTGTGCCTCCGATATAGAGTTCAGGGAACTTCCCTAAGTTCAGATGGAGAAGACGGAGTGGTAGAGATGCAGATGAAAGGGAAAAACTTTTAAAGCCTTTGACAGCTGGTTGACTGTTCTTATGGAAATCCGATGTGATAGCATTGAGCCCCTGCTGCAGCATCGTCATTTCAAGACATGTGTTTATCTTCTGCGATAACGAGAGTCATACCCATTATGTAATGCCAGAAAAGTAAACAATTTCTGATTATAAACCCATATTAACATATTCTGTTGTGATCTGTTATCAGCTGTTTTTCATTTAAACGGCAGAAGCGTTTCAAGTTTAACTTCCAAGCTTGGAGCCCAAAAAACACCCAAAAGAAAAAATAAATCCACTCTGGCCCCACTTTGACCGTTGAGCCTCATTTCTCAGCAGGAGCGAAGCTAAGGTTGCTTTGTAACAAAGCTCAAAGGACGGTCTGTGGGTAGACCGCTGTTTGTCCTCTGAAGTCTAGAAGTCATGCATTTGAGCAATATCTGTGAAGTACTTTCTGCCTTTGTGGGTGTTTGTGCATGTCCTGAAGGAGATCTGCTGTTACCAGGGCAACAGGTCTTCACCAAGAAAAGCGGCGAGTTACCTGTTTCAGCGCTCGCTCGATCTCCACTCCCTGAGCCCACGGCACGGCGGGGTTGGCCAGGCAGTCGCCATTGTTGGCCCTCCTGGTGAAGTCGATGCGCTGTTTGTGCAGGTATCTGAAGGCTTCGGTCATCACCTGTACAGCATCGTAGGTCAGCGCCGATGTGTACTATAGCGGGAGAAAAGGGAAAGATGATGGGTTGCCGTGGAGGTGGGAATCTCTCTCCTACGAGTCTAACCTTAAGCCCTGATCGTAATATTAACCTTCGCCTAAGCACCGCAAACCTGATCCGAATTCTAATCTTAAAGGCCTAATAAAGAGACATTATATATGTTTAGGACCCAACACCTCCTCTTATGGAGCAATATTGCTCAAAAACTGCAGTGTTCAGCTATTCTGGTAAATTATGTAGGCTTTTTAAAAGACGAAGCCTTCTGTTTGTGACTCATTTTCCAAAAATGTATGTCTTCAGCTGAAATCAATAGACTTGGTGCTGAGAACCACAGACAGTATAGGAAAGAAGGAGGTCGATCTGTTGATAGCAGCAAAACATATAGGATATTATATACTGCCAACTCTAATCTTCAAAAAAAAATACAACTTTTAATGTAGCCATAAAGAAAAAAAAAGTTGCGACAGATGTTAATACTTGACCTTCAATACCAAGAAATGATCAATAAACAGCAGGGAGCACACTATGTTCATGTTTACCAGGAAAACTGGTGAAGACAGATGAGAGAGGACCAAGATCTAACACTCCAGGACACCATTAATGTGTCTTCAAAATGTATTTTGCTCAGATTGTAACAAGTGTACAGATTTCATTACAATTGGATTCCATTTGTGCAAAAAGGCCAATTCTGTGGGGTCCTTATTAGCAAGAATGAGCTTTGCTCCGCTGTAGATGACTTTGGGACTTGTCTCAACAACATCCATGTATCTCTTCTCAATGGCTTGAGGCAAGCTACTTTAGAATCGTCAAATCTCTCTGCCTCAAGTCAACCCATAAACCTCAAGCACAACCTCGCCTCATCATCTTTTAGCATAATGAGTTGACAAAGGAGGCTTCAACTGTGAGTTCTAACCTTAAATACACCCAACAAACAAATGAGGTTGACCAACATGAGCCACTTTGTAAATAAAGTATCCTCCTCACTACTCCTGCTCATTGTCCTTCCTAGTATTAAGTCATCAGGTCCTAATTAGAAAGCATATTGTATTTTGCATGCTGGTGCCCTTTTTTTCATTTTTTTAATCGGTTGTATTTATGTTATGGACTCCACTAAAGTTTTGTTCTGTTTTGTAAATGTCAGAAGGAATTTTCACCCAGATTTGTGGCCTAAAGAAGAACTCGAACTTTCACATTTTTATAGATAGACGGTGGAAGACATATTTTTGTAATTTTTTGGGTAATCTGCTAGTTTGGTGAAGAGTGGCAGGCAAATTTACTGCTGATAAAGAGCTTAAATCGAACAATTTTTCAGCATGATATCACCCTGATTTTATTTGCATTGCATGAAATGATCCAAATTAAATAGAAAAACGGCAGCATTCAGCTCAAGGGAAAACATTAGTGGGTTTGTTGAACAATGCATAAGAATCGCTGTGTGTTTAATAATGTAAAGTGTGTGCATGTGAGCGGGTGAGAGGCTGCATAATTTACTCCGAGATTACATACTGGTTGCAGCAACTCGGGCACTTTTGCTTAAGAAGATATTTTGAACGGACAATTCTTTACTGCAAATAGGAAATGCATGTTTGTGTGTGTCTGTGCACACTTGAGCTCACCCTTATTTTGCTGTCAGCACCGGGGTATTCCTTTTCCTCCAGGGCCTCCCATCGCTGGTCAAATTTGGAAACCAACGGATCATCAAAGTCAACAATCTGAAAGCCTGAAACGTTGGCTCCACCGTACTGAATTTTGGACAGATCCCCATCAATGAAACCCTGAAAATATCATAAAGAGAAGCTGAATTATTATATCACCGCATACAGCAAAAGGAAATTGAAAAAAACTGAAAAAGTGATAAAGCAACCATGCAATAAGTGTAGAGGTTGTTTGAGCTTACCAGATTGGCTATAATGTAGTGGTAGCCTTTAACATGTCTGCCAATTGTGATGACCTGCAGGGTTATGAGACAGATATATTAACCAGAGGCATACTCTCCCACTAGAATAAATCAATAAGTCTTAGACAAACAAGACACCTTAATAAAAGGCTCTAAAAAAAACCCCCTCGTCATTCTTCTGTTTCAGTGTGACTCGCTGTCAGCTATTGCAAAGGGAAAATATGTCGTCCTCATACGGGAAAACTTACACTGTAATTCATTATTACACCAAGAGCTTGACAACCAGAGATAAGACAATCATAAATATGGCAAAAGTTCAATCGAAACCATGCAAATCTACCCTGGATTCAGCCATTACAATTTGCCACTATCAACCATACCATAGCTGACAGTCTAGGTGCCATTATCACGGAAAAAAAAGTGAGCGTTTACAGTCACAGATACTGCCAGACAGAGATATCCAATTCCAAAGCCACTTCTCTTATCAGCGCGGCAACAGAAAAAAAAAGGAGAAAATAACATAAATATCTTTGCTATGCTCCATTTCACTCCCTCACATAAATGACACACCTGAAACTAATCCCGCCACTTGAGTGACACCTCCGTTTGTCAGCGATGCAGATTTGAATAATAACGTCTTGTATCTTCTATGTAAATGTCTTTAACATGAAGCAAGAAACTTCCTGAGTCCTAAACGGATAAAGAGGCAATTAGGCCGTGGACTGATTTCACTCGGCTTTCGGTTAAACAGACGTGCTTCAAATACCGATCAATAAGCTGCTCTCTTGGGTGAAGGTAGAGTAAAAATAACCTGTTTATGTGCATTTGTTTTGCCTTTAATTGCAGTTTTGTTTAAAGCCTAAGTGAACAATTAGTGTAATTGTTACGGGGCCTTTCTACATCTGCTTGGACTGCCGGGTCCGTGTGACAGCGTTGCTTTTGTAAGCGCCTAATCAATGCACGTTTTTCAGCTGAATATTGCTTTTGTCCTACAAGAGTAATTGAAAGACAATAGGGTTGTTAGCATTTTCTGCGTTACCTTTGTTTTTTAAATGACTGCACCTGCTCCTTTTTCAGCATTATTTCTACTTTCTGATGCCGTTTTCACACCATGAGACACTTTACTGTAAAATTATCACTAGTATGTTTAAAAGACATAGCTTAACTCGTGCAACAAACAACATTCCAGAGTGGCAACATTATGGATTCGATGCCTGCATTACTTCATCAGTCGCTCCATTTTCCAAGAAAGAAGCTCCACTCTCTACTGCACCTGCTCCATGATGTCTTTCACTTTGTCCTGTTCACAGTCCAGGATCACCCTCCTCTCTTTCTTGTTCTCGAGATCTTGGAAGAGTGAGCGGTAGGCCTCATCCTTCCTCTCGTCCTTCAGGTTCCCCACATTGATGGCTGTCACCTGCCACTTCTTTTCTGCTGCCGTATCCAGAACAACCTGCAGCGTCGTTAGGCCTGAGGATACAGCAGAGTTTAAAACATCGTTAACACACTTGGTTTAGAGTTTATTTTTTGTAAATCGATGCGGTTTAGAAGGCTTTGATTCATTCTCCCAAAACAAAACGTTTATCCACCATCGAAGAGTAATAATTAAGGAATGCATTGTGCGTCTGTGTCTTTGTCTGTTTGCTGATGCTCCTGTTAAAACTATGTGCTCATTTCCCCTGAAACTAGTCGCGCTATAATCTCTGAGATGCTTTTGGACTTATACCATTTTTGTTGGCTCATTACAGGCAAAGCCGCATGCGAATTTGAAAAGTAGTCACAAAAGAAGCATGTCATTGCAAAGAAATGAAAAAAATAAAACCACCAATGGTAAAGGCAGGAAAAACACAGAGAGAGAGAAAAAAACAAATTATGTAGCAGACCAGACCTGTTCAAAAACAAGGTTCTATTATTGCAGATTGGCTGCATTCACTGTCTGCTTACTCAAACCCTGTGGAGGTTTTGCAGCGACTCAGTGCCTTATGTAAAGAGCTCATCAAGATGAGTCACAGCTTTTCTGTCATGAACCTGACCACCGTGTGGGAGGAAAGTGGGTCTAACAATATACTTGACTGCATCAACACCAAAAGTTTCATACTGTATTGCTGCTCTGTGACTGGATGTTTGTGCTGCATTTTCAACACACGTCTCTGAGTATTTTTCTTCTTTTTTTTTTTTTTTCCGTAGTCGAGTTCATGATAAAACAACCTCTATTGAAGTTCCACTTACTTGTTCTGAGTCTTTCTCGGGAAATAAAGTTGTCACAAAACACGACTGTTATGCTGAGCAGCTAAACTCAGTTGAATTATCTCGCTGAGAACAAAGCAATTGAGCAAATAATAAAATAAATACATGACAATTAATCCTGCAATGGATGGTAAATAATAGAATTCTATACAGTGACCCCCTTTTTCCAGTGTGGACTTTAAGTTAAAAGACCCGTTCGGAGCAGTTTTTTTTGTTGTCGTTGTAACGTCTGGGGTCAATAACAGGCTACCAGGTAGCACTTTTCCAATCCCTCACTGGCTTCCCACCAGTAAAATTGCCTGTGTTTAGAACAAAGGGTTAGCTCAACTGGATGCAAATTATCCGTGCACTTTTTGTCAGTGCACGAGTGTTAATGGAACAATCTTTACAACATTATGGTGTCGCTGGATCAGGCTTTTTTCTATAATCCAAAATCAGTACAACTGCAAGGATTCGGCGAAGAACAGACACAGCTGCTGCATCAGAGTAATTCAATTACATGGAGCAGTTGTCCATCAATCTGAAGTGCAGCCTGGTAAAGGCAAAGAGTACAGAGTCCATCTGCACTAATATTCCTATCACCCCCTCTATCTAGTTTCACAGTTGAATCTCTGCTGATATTGATCCCTGGTCTGCAAAGGGCAGTTAGAGAGCGCTTTGATAAAAGGGTCGAGTGTTTCATTCCGACTTGCCGTAGCGAGGTGAATTACAGATATAATCAATTTCATGCGACACGGCTGAGGTTTTATGACAGCGGTGGGGAAAACGGAGGCTTGCAGTTTTCTCTCGATGAATTATGCATCATGGTTACACTAAAGTCATCGTAATGTGGTTAAAAGTGACCGTTTTATGGTACTTATTAAATGAGATCATTAGAAAATCAGAGTGATTTACGGTAAAGATAATGAAACACCAATAGCAACATTTAAAAAGACCTTTTTGTTTCTGCATTAAGGCTGAATTATAATTTAAGACAGTTAGACTCTGTGAAATGTACTTACAACATAAAAATATGTCAAGACCCCCGTTCATGAAAATCAAGTGTTAGCATGTCCATATGGTGGTTTTAATATGCTAGAAGACATGTCATGAGTGAAAAAGGCTGAGCATTTCCACCTTGAAATTGCAGCGTACCAATGACAGTCTCAAAAACATGGATTTGGACAACTGGAATTTCATACCTAACAAACTGAAGGCACCCATCCTGCTAACTTGCAGAGTGGGGCTCTCTGTATCATTATTCTTTGTCAGAATGGGTTTTCAATTCAAACATATATGGCTTCATTACTCCAATATTAAAACTTGACATTGTGTCGCGTGCAGTAGCTTTACAGTGCAGAGTCGTAGGTGAGCTTGAGTTTCTGTGAGTGAGGAGCGAAGCAGGGACTTCATAGATTCGTGCGGTCTACAGGAAGCGACAGTGTAGAGTTACATGTGAGACATTTTAGGACAGGAAGGGATTATTTTCGTGGGGGAAAAAAAACTTCCGACTATGTCATGTTGATGCACAGAGATGAGTTTAGAGGGACTTAAAGTTGTAAGTCTGTCTAAATGCCGACACTGGATATTGAACAAAAATAAAAATAGCACATATGTCCGCTAAAGCTACTCATAGAAGTGCCCTGCAAAGAGACAAATACCTTTAAGCTCTTTGTGTTAAAGCATTGTGTTTTTATTTCCTTTTTATTTCTCTTCTTGTAGTGTTTAAATAGAAATTTAAAAAAACACCCCAATGTCAATTGCCAGTTTAAGTATCAGCAACAGTTTTAATTATTCTCTACCACTAAGCTAATGCCCACAAAATCATTAAAATAAATAGGACAGTTATAATATTTTGCCATTCTTTCCCTAATTTTCTGCACATTTATCGTCATTGTGTTGGCTTATAATTAACATGGTGCCATCCATCAAACAGACACAGTGCTACCACTGCATTGGCAAACAAAGATAATTATGTGACCTCTCATCTGCTCTTAGATTGACCTGGATTTAAAAGGTCAAGGAGGAATAAGGAGGCATTAACTAGTGTAACACAGCAGTTTTATAATTCAGGAAATTGACAACTCATAGAAGTAATTGTGGCGAGTAACAGAAAATCTGATTTTCCTGTTTTCCAGTGAAGAGATTTTTTTTTTCCTCACACATGCAGCCTTGACTGTAAAAGCTTAACTTCATGCTCATTGATCAGTAACAACTCAATGTGATGATGTATGTGAATTCATGAGCATATGCATAATATGATGCAAAACTATTCAAATGAGGCGAGAGTAGGCTCATAAATATTGCATGGAGAAAATAAATGTAATACCTACAAATGCATCTTCATATTAGCTGTAATCTCTTTGTTTCGAGCTGCTGTTTGCACGCTTATTCACTGTGGTGAAGGTCCAACATCCCTCTCCCTGGTAAACCTGTCCACTTTCTGCATAATGTAAACTGAAGGACCACTTAAATCAATTTGTAAATGCTTACAGGCTCTGTTTGAGTGAGAAACAAAAGAGCAGCGTTCTGTCGTTGCTGCAGCTCTACCTTGAATTTGCACGTGGGAAGATAATAATCATCTTCTAATGGATGAACAAAACAAAACAAAACAGATTTATGCATCGAAGGACTGTTGATTTTGTACAACATACTAAATAAACTAAAACATGTACATGCACTATTTGCTACATACAGTCATACATGAGGAAACTACAGATGCAAATATAAGGGTTCACAATGACAACAGCAATCGTCCGTTCAGGTGATTAAAATGTGATCATAGCTGTGTGTAATTCTGTTTCGAGCCACAAACACTGACACTGAGCTATCCTGCAAACCACCTAATACTTTTTCTTAATATTCATTGCCAGTGTTTTCAAAAATCCTCCGTCTACAGTATCTGTGAATGACGACCAAGGCGATGGCGAGAGGAAAATGTGGATATGTAAAACAATATCACTTCTAAAAATATGTTGAATCAATACCGCTCGTGTCTATACTTGGAATGTGAAGTGACTGCGGGCATCCTGGTAGCTTAGCTTAGCATAAATCCTGGTAGCAGGGAGAAACCGATACCCATGTGTAAAGTCATCAGTTCGTCGTGAACTTACTATGTTAACCCTACTCAGGACCTTTGGGGGTCTTTTGGACCACAGGCCATTTGGTTTAGGTGACAGGTATTGTTTTTTTTATTTTTAAAGATTTTTTTAAATATAAGAAGAAGGACATTTGTCCTGCATTTGGAACCAAAAACACGTCAACTTATCAGATAATTTATTTAACATAGTATAAAAGTCTATAATGAACACCAACAGCTATTGGACCCCAAAATACCTTCTATGTATGGCAACATGAAAGTCCTGAATAGGGTTAATGAACCTTTACAAGAATAATCCTTTGAACAACTGTTGAGTGAGTACTGTACTTGTTCTTCTTGACTCTCAGCAAGAAAGCAAACATGCATATTCTCCAAAATGTCAAGCTATTTCCTTAACTTCATGGTTACTATCTAAATAAATAAAAGAAGGAAAACTGCAGAATCGGAACGAGCTATAATCTTTAAACTCTTGTCATGAAAATCCTCGTCACATAAAGGCCACACCAGCTCCTGCTTTGTCACCGAGGGCTGGTGCTGAATCTGAGGTGTGGAACCGTCCTGTTAATAAACTGTGACTACAGTTACCGAGCAGCTTTTATAGAAACTGTGACCAAAGATCTAGGTTGCAAGGGGAAAAAGGGAATTGCCTTTTCCTTTTTTTTTTTTTTCTGCTTTCCTCCTCATCCAGGTAGAATGACAAAGATCTGGTGGGAAATGCAGTCGCGGAAGTCTATCTAAGGACGTATCAGCCCTCGGTGAGCTAAAGAAACGCAGGAGAGGACGCTCACAGTGCCTGTCTGCCCACGTATATCCATCCATTATCCAAACTGACTTACTGACAACAGCTGACAATGGTGGTGCTGGTTCATCCATTAGTCTCAATGTGCTAATAGAATTCATCATAACCAGTGGCAACTCTATTGCCTCCTCTCCCTTGGCTCCTTGAGAAACACCCACACACCCTTGCATCATTTACCAACCAGCTCAGTCACTCACAATCTCACTCGCTCGCTCTTTTCTCTCTCCCCCTCTCCCTACACTTTGGTTGCCATGGGAATGAGTGGATCACACTGACCTAATTAGACAGCCATGCAGCGATGAAATATGCACAACAGGCCCCTTAGTGCCATGGCGGACGTACAGTAGGGACAGCAGGTCATTGCTAGCATTAGCATGGGGACAACCTAAAACAGCTGGTGCTTCTGATTTTAGACGGGAGCAGCATTTGACTCCCCTGTCAGCCTGAGCAAGGCTTACTGGGAAGACTTAGCAGTGAATGCTGAGGGGTGAAAGCGTTCCAAAGAGATGAGAGGAATTGTACAGCATGCATAGAGGGGGATGCTGTGAATGGATAAACAGGAAGCATAGTATGTGTGTGAGAGGGAACCGGTGCAGTGGGAGTGTTTAAGTGATGTAAAACGATGGAGAGTTAAAGGCAATACAGAGCAGAAGTGCCATAAATCCCTCCTAATCCACTGGAACTACAGTACACTATACTCAGTCTAAACACGAGTGTATAGACAGCAGCGATCCCACTTCTCTGAGCTGATTCACTTCCTATTACCTTAAGTCACTCATTATTTGAATGCTCTGGTAAGCCATCGTTGGCCATTCATCACCACTGAACAACTCCAAAGTGCATTTAGAAAGTGATCCCAACACTGGTCCATTTAGAGTGCGTAAAATATAGATAATAAAAGATTTTCAGTCAGTAATGAAAAGTAAAAATGGGCTTAAGAAATATAACCTGAAAGCCAAACATCTCTATTACACAGGGTGAAAAGATGTCATATTCAATTGCTGTACAGTTGAACTGTTATTCAACTGTAACTGGATACTACTGAGGTCTTTATTCTATTTTTTTTTTCATTGCAAAAGCAGTATTTAAATATAACAGAACTCTATCTGTAGAGTTCCTTTCAGTGCTGGTCGGTCCCTCTGTGCTGCAGACGACCGCATTGTTCTCCAAGGGGACAAGTTACAGAATCACAATTAGCAGGTGATGCTATAAAATGAATTACATGACAGAGCAAAGTGAGATATTGCACAAGAAGCAATATAATGTTCTGCAACTTTTTGTGGCAGTACTGTCTTTATGACACTTTATTATACACCCCTTTATTACCCATCGCCTCCTTGTGCTCAACCGTCTTCCATTTTATTTCCTGATATGTTGCAAGCTCAATTATAAAAAACACAATTTCAGGCAGTGTATTGTGTGTGTGTGTGGAACCTTTCAGACTGTGAAGGAAAATGTCTGCTCCAAGAAATATCATCTTTCTTCCAGACTTCCACACTATCAGTGTCACATAGAAAAGAATCACTGATGAAAGAGATCAAAGAATAGGGACAGAATAGATTTGAATATGAAGTAAGTCTGAATATGAAAGTTTGAGGGGGGATAATTTTTCATCTGCATTAATTCCACCCATGATCTTATCCAGGATTGCAACTACAGGTGCACAGACTCTGTATTTCTGGCTGCAATGGTTTCACATATTTCATTAGAAAATAACAGTATTTTGTGCGACGGACATCCTCATCGTGGTATTAATGACTATTTGCTTATTTAAATGTACAGACTGATAAATAATGATCTTTCAGCAAGCGCTCTTTTCAGTTTGAGTTAAAGCTGCAGAGCATCTCTTAATCTGGGGGAATGTCTGTCTGTCGAACTGATTTATAGACCAGGAGGCTGACTATTATCCCTCTGAACCCCAAAACCCATCGGCGGGTTTAAAAGTCATGCTATCTTTTAAAAAATGCCAAAAATGACACCATTTAAGAGCCAGAAGCCATGAAAAACAGAGAGAACTGTCTCATGTTAAACTTCACAAACGTCCTTGAACTAATCATCCCTGACACGTTATTTCATAGGGGAATACTCATCAAATCTAAGCTTTAAATCGTGGTACTTCATCAAAATCCCTTTAAACTACATGTCTTGTTTAAGGATTGTCGTAACCAGATTCTAAAAAAAGGTAAAGTTCTCTGCTCCACTGCACAACTGGAGAATAATTTGGGCAGGACTCGGCTGAACTGCAGGCTGTGCTGACACGGCGTATACAGGAGATTAGTATGGAAAAAAATTAAAAATGTCAAGTCACTGGTAAAATATGGATAGCATGTTGAGTCATGATTTTTCCCCGGTGTTGTCTGTGTGTGTGTGAAGATGGATGGAAAGTGTGTGTCTTCCCACTAAAAGCATTGACCCGGAGGCCAGCGGTCTGACAATGGGCAGCTCCCAGATGTGAATGTGAGTTTACTGTTTGATTGTAGAAGCAGTGCAGCGCTAGAAAAAGAACATAATGTGGAGTGAATGCTCAACCAACCTTCTCTACATAGGAAGCGTGCATGATTGTATGTAATAACAGCAGATTAAAGTGTAAGTAAACCCTTGTATGAGTTAAGTAGCAAATTATACAATGTGTTAAATGAATATGTTAGAACTAGTAATTGGTAGAATTAATGCAGGACTTATTAACACCTTCCTCTAATAGGCACAGCAGTGGTTAAGTGTTAAAATCACTTGAATGAAAACAAAATACTGTGGTACTCATTTGGTAACACTACATAATCAAAAAATACCTCACTGCATAGTTGGATATTACAAAGGAAGATCTATGTAGAGTTTCAGCTGTGACGCAACTTTACTTCTGGATCAGGATGTTCATATCATAAAAAAACACAATGCAAACAAATCACACCTCTATGTGGAGCGAGTGTGGAAATCAACAGCTGCGGGGCATATCATCTCTACTGTATGTCAAAGATGACTCCGACGGCCTCCCCTCCCCTTGATATTACATAAAACAGACTCTCAAACACATGAGGTGCTGTGGCTGATTGTATGTGACAAGCTGTTTGTCATGACCCCAAATGCCCTTTACCTAGCTTCAACTGTGCTTCGCCGCTTTCATACTTTTTTTATTTTTTTATTTTACATGTATTGCTTTTAACACAAGGAATGAAAAACCCTCCTTTTGTAAAAAAGGATGTGAGCAAATGGAAATTGCTGATGGCGTGTTTAAATTGCCTCTTCTAAATATATGGCTGCAATCCCAAATGCAAGTCACCAGATTAGCAGCAGCAGCTTTTTTAGAGAGCGACTTTTCAACACAGGAGCTGGTGAGAACTTTTGAGAAATCCGAGCAGGACTAAACATTCAAAACCAACCTGAGAGTGTCTTACCTCGGTCGCTGTCGTACAGATAGGCAAACTTGTCCCACTTGTAGTACTCAATAAGGCTGAGCAGGGGCCCTTTGATATCGGGTCGCATCTGGATGATGAACTGCTGATTCCCGTCCAGAGGGAAGCTGGGCGTTATGAAGGAGACGTGGAGTGTCCCGCAAAATGACGTGATGGTGTTTACAGACTTCTTGTCGTAGAATCCGAAAATGGCGTACACTCCTCTCGAGAACTGTGAACAGACTGGAGAAGAAAGCAGGTTGTTAAGGCGTGTTTACCTCACATCCGTCCAACAGGGCTCCTTTACAAAAGCTGAACAACATACGTTTCTCTTTCGAGTCAGGAATTATTTTGCCAGAACAATCTCACATCCAGGCAAACTCTTCCGACATCTATTTGTAAAGCTTTGAGAACTCCCTGCCATAACTCATAGCAATGTATATATCCAAGACCTTTATTGCGATCCTTTAGTGCACATTCGGGCCAAACACAACTATTAAGGGACGAGTCTTTCCGTTCCTCTTTCAGCTGATTAATGGATAGCTTTCCATAAGCTCTGTCAGGGGAGTGCTTGTATTCAACACTAAAAGATCCACTGTACGCCAGTCAGTATGTGAAACTTTTATGAGTTGCCCTATGGCTTTTTGATACAGAGGGAATAAGCGGTGTTGAGTATGAGTCAAGCATTCCTCAAAACTGTACATTAATTCTTCATATGTGGTGCATCCTGCGGGACTGACATTTAGCTTTTCTCACAGGAGTATGAATAAGCGGCGGGGCAAATACGCTACAATGCACCGCTTCACCACCGCCTATTAGCACCACATGTGTCCGCCGCAGATTATCCGATAATTTCAATATCTCCTCGGCTTCCATTAGACTTGAATGATTGCTTTCGTTAGGAACCATTATCAGCATGCTACTGACATTTATGATGACTGTGTGTTTACATCAAATTATTTGCATTGCATCCTCATCCCGCTGACTTTGCAAAGTCCCTGTATTCAATAATTCATCACCCGCATGCTCAGGTATGTACATGCCGTATGCTGGCCTCTAACATTCATTATGCAACGACCAGGAAAAGGTACTGTGAGATGAAGGTAAACATGAATACTAAAGGTCTACGTAATCCTGAGGCTGCAGGCTGTTTCTCAAACGCTGTCCCTGGATCAGCAGATTGGCATGTTGCTTGTAAATGTGTATTGATCAAATGTAAGTTAATCAGGCTTATTGATTTGGACATATGTGTCCTCCAGTGTAATTAATCTAATGAGTCATTTGCTCTTGCGCAATATTGCTGGAACGACTTGCTGACAAAGGGAACCGTAGTCCATATATCAGATATTAGCTAGCTGGGTATACGTACTGTAGGCATCATGCCACCACTGCACTGGCCGTGGCAAGAGGCCGAACTGCAGAAAGGACGACTGCTGTGGTCTTGACATTACAACGAGGGAACGTCGTCAGATTCACATGGAAGTCTTTAACCTTGACGTTAAGAAGGGATGTTTCATAAAGGTTTATTTTTTAAATCTTGCTGTAATGTTTCACATATACACACAGCGAATGTAGTTACAGCCATTTTATGACTCTGTTAGTTATTGAGCAGCTTCAGTCATGAGGTCTGGATCGAAATTAACAGCAGCTCGTTAAAGGCGAGTAAATCAAACAGCCTGCGGTATTTGGTCTTCGTGCATTGTCGGACTATAGCGCTGCTGGTCAAAACAGCCTCACTTGGACCACGAAGACCTTAAACTAAGCTGAAAATATTTCATTCGGCCTCCAACTGAGTTGTAAAGTTGGAGTTACTTTGGGTAAAAATCCTATATTATCTATATTATTAACATTTGTAACTCTACAAATGGCTTTGATAGAGATAAAAAAAAATCTTATACCGTAAACAAAAAATAAAACTAACTAAATAATCTGTATAAAATCTGTATAAATCTGGCAGCAAGGGGTCCAGAAAAAAATATGATAAAATGGTCCAATTCTGTAACCTTAAAAATCTATAAAGACAGTGAAAATAACAGCAAATCTGTAAAATAGTGATACAGTGATTTTAAAAATACAGTAAAAAATGGTTTTAAAACTTTCATTTCTTACGGTAGAGAAAATAACTTGTATCTGGTCACATGCACAAACATCAGTGTATGAATAGACATGTAAGAAGAGAAGTCAGCTGTTAGTCCCAGGGGCCGTTTAGAAAAGAAATATCCCGTCACCAAGCTGAAACTGTAGTTACATGCAGTGATTGTGTTACATGCAGCAAAGCTCAGAAGCCTAAAAGTTGTTTCTTAGTGAACTGAAAATACAATTTGCATCTTAAACTTTGAATGAATCTGGCAGCCACGTCGCTGTGTTCCGCCTCCAGCTGCAACAATAAAAGGCTTTTTAATATGCTCTGATTCCCACCTATGACAGGCTTTTCTCCATATAGCAACAGCAGCTCGGAGGTTATTGTAATATTTATAACCATCTCCAATGCAAACCTGGAAACCGCGAGGAGAAAACAAGATTTGCAGGAATTATTTAACGCTGGTGGCCGTAACCTAAACCTTCTACTGTTACAGTATCTGGGAGAGGCTTCCACCAAAGGACGGTAAAGAGGCTGTGAACTGATTCACTTATCAAACTCAGATTTTTAACTTGGTGTGGATTTTTCAGAATATTTACCTCATAATCAAAAATCCAGTTTCTTTATCCTTAGGACTACTTTAAATCCCTTTTGTCTTTTTACTGCTCAGAGCTCCAAAACAGGCAGAGCTCATCAGGAACGGGCCAAAACAGAGGGTCCAAGGCCAGCTTTCATCCACCGCCAGCATTCATATGCTTCTAAAATCTTTATTGATCCGCTGACACGAGCAATTAAACGTTCATCAGAGCCACCCCCAGACGAACCGCGAGCAGCAGTCCGATGACCTCCATCAGCCGGCGACACTGCTCCTAATCTTTTTAGCAGATGACAGCGACCAGTAATGTGGCCGCAGAGAGATCACACCTCGCTAATCTCGTTTTGCCTTTGTGCGAGCTAACAGAACCTAAAGTGTGACGTCTGTTAACTGTCACAGTCTAACCGGAGAGTGATTTTGTGCAGTTCAATGAAGAGGAATGAAATGTCCCTCAGTGGAGAGGTTAGGTAATGTGTTAAATAAGTCAAGGTGCTCTATTCGTGTAGCTGATTGACTGGAACGAAGCCCGAAAGAAAAAATGACAGCGAGCGTAAGTGGCGATAACATTTGGGAATAACATTTTATCTGGACGTGTTTACATCCAAAACATAATGTGCAACAATTGAACTGAAGGAGTGTAGGTGGGATGCAGTGCAGCTTATCCTCGATCAGCCATATTCAGTCTCTGTTACTTGAAGGTTTAATTATGATTTTAACTAAACAGAACATTCACAGTGCAGTTTGATATCGTGGTAAGATAAGTTACTGTTGCTCTTCAATCAGTTGCTGAGGTCATTTCTGGTGTTATTCTGAGGCGCGTGTATTATACGAGGTGTGTCAGAAAAGATACATTTGAACTACAAGTATTCCCCTTTGAAGTAATTCCCCTGGATTCTAACACACTTTCCCAGCCTTCTCTGCCTCCATGCACTCCTGGAAGGATCCTCCTCAGCTCCATCATCACAGCCATCTTGATGTCGTCCACGTCTTCAAAACAGGTCCCCTTGATGACCCCCTTGAGCTTGGGGAAGAGGAAAAAATCCCACGGAGACAGGTGGGGTGAGTAGGGAGGTTGCTCCAGCAAGGAACTGTTGGATGCTCAGGGCATTGTGAGCAGGCGTGTTGTCATGGTGAAGCAGCCATGACTTGTCCTGCCTCAACTCTTGCATCTTCTCGCGCACTGAATGAAGCAAACGCAGCAGGATCTCTTTGTAGATGTGCTGGTTGATCGTCTGAAGGGGAAAACTGGTAGTTTGTAGTTTGAAATATATCTGTTGTGACACCAGTCCTGGAACTTTTCTGACACACCTTGTGTACATATTGCTTATCGCCATGTGATTTCTTGGCCATCACACTATTTAAACATAACTTCTACACTTCAGAGAAATGTTGGGTTGCTTTGGAGATTCTAATTTTACACAAACACTCTTTAATAAACTTAAAGGGTTGTTTTATTTTTGATATTTTGGTAAGTTGTGTTGATGTAAACAGCTTCAACGATTTTCAGACTGATTTTGAATTTGATTGTTTTTGATGCATGAGGACAGTGGCCACTTGAATTGAATTAAATTATCTTGTGATCATTGTGATTTAAATTTGTATTTTTATGTTGCATTCTAACATTGGAAATACACTTTTTTTGGGGTCAAAAAACGCTGATTACAATCTCGACAAATCCTCCCAATTCGCACCAAGAGCATGTTTTATTCTTTGTTTCACATTGCAGTCCTCAGCCTCCTTTATCCTCTTGCATTATGGCTCCCTTTTCTTGCTTCAGTTTATCTGCTGAGCTGATGAAATAGATGTCAGGTCTTTTTTAGGCTATAAGACACGAGGTTGGACTTATAATCCTTTCAATGCCTAGCAAAGCTCACCTTTGTTCTTAGGAGAAGAAGAAAAAAAACACCCTTTATCTCATCATGATAGGCAGAACATGATAGAAGAGAATCAATATATTCTAGCAGTCCTCACTGACACCTCCAGAAGCTAATAGAGTTGCAGAGCTTCTGTTTCTGTGTCACTTCTGGCCATTGTCATGTTTCTAAGGCTTTCTTTGCTGACACTCTTGCTGGTTGAGCTTGCTGAGTTTGCCCAGGATTAAAACTCTCTGAGCTCATGCTTAGAGCCTGGATATCCCCATGACTGTGCTGCAGCTTATGCCAGAGTGAACAGTTTGACAACATGTTACTTTATTACCAAATATGGTAATTCACATCCAGAAGCGACGTGCTACCCATTTGTCTGTGCAGCGACTGTTCAGAGGATTTTTTATTTATTTATTTATTTTTTTGCTGGAACATGATGGCAGAAATATGACGAGCAGGAGGTTTTTAATGGGCGAGACGTCTACGTGTGCTCCTTCAATAAGGAATTCTTGAAATGTTTAATTAAGGAAGAAAAGCCAGCAACAAACACTGACTCTTAGAAACAGTGAGGATTGTGGAAAAGCCATTAAGCCTCTGTCACAACTGACTGCTTTTTAGTGAAACCAGCAAGTATTCGCCCTCAGAAATCCCCCTCTGAGCACAGAAAAAAGAGGTGACTGGGTAAATCTCTTTTTGGAGTGTT